TGAACCGCAGCTTGACTTCTCCTGTGCTGCTCCTCCCTGCTTTCAAATGGAGTATGTTCGGGGAAGACAACTTGCCCCTCTCACTTCTATTAATGCTAACAACTAAAACAAAGGTAATCATAAAATTTAATGTATCTTAAACTTCAGACAAAATAAGATACTAATTTATATCTAGTTACGGTTCCTCCCTTTTAAAAAACTTAAAATATACTTATTTTTCAACATTTTTGAGGATAACATAAGAAATTACTTGGCTTCTCATTTAACAAATTATAGATTTAACTTGAGGCAAAAAAGGTTAAGTGACTTACCCAAAGTTACAATTAGAGGTACAGCTGGGGCTAGAAACCAGGTCTCCTGAGTCTCAGCCCAGTGCTCTTTTCCTTAGCCCATGATGCCTTATCAGAAAAATCCAAATACAGTCAGACCCCCAGTTACATGGGTATGAGTTACACTGATTCACATATACAAACTTTATATAGTGTGACCAATGTTTCAACTCACGCGGTACCCTGCTTCCATTTATGCAGTATGCCAGGCATCGGCACGATTTTCAGTGGCACACAGGCGGTTGCCACCACCAGGGCCCTAGGCAAAATTGCAAAGAAGGCAAAGTTTGTCTTTGGCCCTCCCACCTCCCTTATGCATTCCTCTCCCACCTCCTGGTCATCCCCCTGCCCAGCCTCCCAGCACCATCATGCTGCCCTCTGGTTGTCCAAAGCCTCCCACTTCCACCACTCACCCAGGACTGTCCTTTCTGGGAGTGCCCAGGGATCCAAAATTACCTCTCCATTTCCCTACTAAAATTCCTATTTCTGAGAATTTCAGTAAAGTTTAGGTAATCTACATGATTAACACTTAAGTAATTCAAAGTAAGTTACATTTAACAGACTTAAATCTCCAAGGAGTTTAAAAAGAAACTAATTAAAAATTCTAATTTGGGGGAGGGGAAGAGGAAATAAGTCTTTCATTAGGGGGGCAAAGAAGGTAAAAGAGAAAGTACTCTGGGCCTCCTGTACCACTTCAGATTCCCTCACAGACAGGACACTAAGAGTTGAGGGGGTGGTTACTGCCACCCTGACAAAATGACAGTGGTTGCTTTATAGTCAGTCTCTGGGATTAAAAAAAAAAAAATTGGACACAGCTGCTTTCAATACCCTCCTACCTACCTCTTCCATCTCTCTCCCACCTCCTGAATCCCCATTTCCACCTCTTAGTACCAAAGACACCCAACAGCATTCCCTGTAAGCTGTTCCTGTGTCCAATACAAAGCTTCCCATTATATGGTTTCAAATTACATGAGTTATTCAGGAAGGTATCCACGTCCCCCTATCCCTGGATAACTTCAAGTTGACTGTACGCTAAAAAAAAATCCTAATTACTTAAAGGTACTGAATCATAAGATGAAGTATGTAAACTCATTAACTATCTGGCAAGAAGGAAAAGAATACTCTGATTCTTGTCTTATACACATAAAAGAACTAATTTGGGTATCTAAAAAAATTCAATTCTTTTCCTTGAAAGTAGTATGTTTCTTACTTCTGGCCCAACACAGCAGTGAAAATCCAGTCATTTCAGCTAAATAATATCGTGGACTTGTAAACATGGGTTCATTGGTAAATCCTCTTAGTCTGGAGGCAAAAAAAAAAAAAAATCCAGTAACAGACACATAAAAATATAAATTTATTTGTATACAAACAGAGTGGATTTTTAAGAAACCCAAGTGTCTGCTGATTACACAAATAGAAAAAATATATATATGTATGTATATGTGTGTATGTGTGTATATATATATGTATACACATATATATATACACACACACATATTTTAATTCAGCTTTGCAATATTAGATTGGCTGCCTAGTTTGGAAATTTATCAGGTGATAAACTACCCTCCCAGTAAAATTAGGAAATTAGGAAATTCAATCCATGCAGAAGGTACCCAAAATGGTACCCATCTAGGATTAAAAGGATCATGTAAGGTATGTCTTAAATGAAATGATTTCTATAATTTTACTACAAAGATTATTCTGTTAGCTAAGATCCTGGATTAAGTCCCTTCTCAATACCATATGTTATAATAAACCATTCTTATCTAAAAGTGAAAAATGGTAACTGATAAAAAGTTTCTCCAGTGGCATTTTTAATTAACGTTAACTTTCAAGGGTTTACTACTCAAATGAAATTCATTTCCTTCCCAATCCTGCCTCCTCTCTACACAACCACAAGTAGGTTTGCGACCTACACCTATTTTTCTATACGTTCTACGAAGATAAGTTCCAAATGTGGGATTACAACTGAACTATGAACACTGAAAAACCACGCAAAGTATACACTGCTAAAACATTTGAATTCGATAAAATGTTTTACTCACATATTTTGCTGCAGAGCATTCAAGGAAATTATAATAGCGACTGCTAAAAAGTTGAGTGTGCCTTTTCTCTTACGTCAAGCAATTTAAATAACTTGTCAAAAAAAAGCATTTCTTTAATGGCTAAGAAACTATTTGCCTGAACAAGCAACATACAAAAATGAGCAAGTATTGGCTTTGTCTTTAAGAGAAAAAGTAGTGAACTAGACCCTTCCTCCATATTAGCATGGATTTGAGTCGAATATCAAAGAGTACATTACTAATTATCACCACCAAAACAGCATCAGCATTTCATCTTACCTAGAAATTCTCTATGACAAAAAGATATCCAGCCATTAGTGGTTTTCTATACAAGCTCTAACCTAAGTGCCTAAAAGGATCGCTGTTTCCCCTCAATTCTACTTCACTGGGCACCACATTTTCAAAATGGTTCTATTCGGGGCACAAGCAAGGTTTGTCAATAATTACTGAACAAAGCCTCTATTAAATTGTCTAACAAAATGGAGGTCTCTCGGAAAAAAACAGGCCGTAACATCCTTCTTTTCACAAAATGGGCCAAACACACCCGCTTCAAGAAACCATGGTTTGGGTCAGATTTTCCCATAAGAATGGTTGTTTCATCCCTGGGACTGGATTCTTAGTAAAGGTTTTCTCCGGACCCAGGTAAGGGGTTGGATGATGGGGGCCAGTTCTCCCTGGGTACTCTGGAAGGCGGCGACGAGGACTGATCCCAAAGCTCTGGGTTAAGGAATTAGTTCAGGGGGCGGAGGCTTTAGCGGTCCGCAGGTACCTAATCAGCGACAAAACAGGCCGCCCGCCTACGCAAAAGAGACGTGGGCTCTCCAGTCCCAGCCAAGTCAACACTCAAGGCTCAAACTCTCCTTTCGGCCTCCAGGCCCCGCCTGACCCCATTGGCAGCAGTTCCCGCCAATCCGCTCGGTCGCCGCCCCCCAGGCCCGCCTGCCCAGCCCTGATTGGATGGGACGAGAGCCGGGACCTCGTGTTACCAATCTGGGAGCCCCTTACTCAGCCACACACACAAGCCCAGGTGCGCCCGCGGAGACCCTTCCCTCGCCTTCCCCATCCCTTCCCCCACCCCCAGGGCACTGGCAGAGACTTACCGTCCCGGGAGGTGCCCATCAACTGGTCCAGCATCGCGCGCATCTGGGCCTGCGCCGACATGGCGGCGGCGTAGCGGGCGGACGGACGGGGGTGGGGCGCAGACCGGGCCCTCTCGGGCGGGGGGACAAGGGGAAGGGGTGGGGGAAGGTGAGACGCTGTCTCGGTTGCCGCCGCTGCCTCGAGGCGTGCGGAAAAGGGAGCTGGAGGGTTGCAGGAGTCCGGGCTGCGCTCCTCACGACGACGCGTACGTGGAAGGCAGCAGCCCCCGAAAGCGACCCTCGTTCCCTCACTCTCCGTCTGGTTCCTGGGACAGAAGCAATACCGGCTAACCGAGCTCTAGTCTCCAACACTGCCACCCGCCAGAAGACGTCAACCCCCCCTTCAAGCTCTGACGCCGCTCGCCGCCACCGTCGCCGCGACGTGAGCGCGCACGCTCCTCGCGCTTAGTCGTTTCCCGCGGGGGCTCCACCAACTAGCGTCCAATTGTATTTGCTCCGCCCGCCCCGTGCGGGAGGGGTTCCACCCTAACGGCTCTCGGGCGCGTGCACGCGGGCCTCTCCCGCCCCAGCTCTCCAGATCTCGCGAGGTTCTGGTGCCTCAACGGACCCTAGAGCCGGATCCGCCCCGAGCGCGAAAACCTCACGCTCCAGGCTGCAGGTCTGCTAGGGCAGCGTTGTACGCTGTGGTGGCGAACCAGCCCCAAGCTAGCCAGTGTGCCAGAGGGTTAGCCCGAGTCGAAAGTAAGTAGAGACCATACCCGTCGTTTCGACGGAGGTTCGCAGTCTTAGGAGCTAATCCGGGCGTATTCCTGACGAATATTCATTGACCGATTAACTCGTTTTCAAGGGCCCACCTGAAAATCGTGTAGACTCGACTCCTTTCTCACTGCTCCTCTACAGAAGGAACCCTGGAGATCTGACAGCTGGGTCATCTTCCTTAATCTATGCAAGGAGGCTTTAAGCACCCCCAACTGGAATAAATCAGGTTCAGGAAATAACGCCTGAAATTACTGCACTACGAAACAGGCCACCTACCCCATTTGGATTTGTCATTGTTACTTATATATATAGCAGGAAGCTGTTAGTCTAAATTAGGAGCTATAAAAGTTAAGCAGTATTCTAACAAAGGAAAGGAGGTCATCTTGTAGAGAATTTTTTTCCTGCTTGAGAGCTAAATTTGAAGGATAAGGCCTTTTCAGTGTATCAGCAGCCCTGACAACAGAAAAGCAAGCCTGTGGGTTCTTAGCTTGCCATCACCCTGCATTCCAGATGTAGGTCGACCGATTACTAACTGTGGGGACATTCAGCGATTTATTTCTTAATCTCATGTCTAATGAAGATACATACCTTATAGCACTGTTGTGAGGACTAAATGAGCTAGCAGAAAATCCTAGCCCAGAGCCTTGCCCTGAGGTTTTAACTTTTTTTTGTAAAATATTAATTCCTTAAGATGAGACATAGGTACTTTGCAAGGAAATAATGGTAAACTTTTTTGTTTCATTAAGATTTTATATACATTGTCTTGGAACTTATAATTTAATATCAACATCAGTAAAAAATTTACGTGAAATAACAATCATAGTCCCAAGATCCTTTTTTTCTTTTTTGGCTGCACTGCGCTGCTTGAGGGATCTTAGTTCCCTGGCCAGGGATGGCACCGAGTCCTAAACACTGGACCACCAGGGAATTCCCCCAAGATCCCTTTAAATGCATACCGGGCCAACAAAAATCTTAGAATCATCCTAGTGTTTAGTAACTGACCAGATAGTTTCCCACCAGTTATTCAGAGAACTGAAAATTCAAACAACTCCAATACTTGGAATATCATCCTTTGAAAACTATTTACAATAAAAGAAAAATTTAAAAATTAATATGTCTGAGAGGAATGCACTATTACATATACAATACCCTTAGGAGGAAAATACACTAAAATGTTGAAATGTTATGTGTCGGTGAAGAGATTTTAGTTCTTATCCCTCTCTTTACTTTCTACCTTTCTGGTTGCTTACATTTTAGATGTATCTCTTATTTTAAAACAACATTTTTTTTTCAATAGTCTGATATCCACTGTCTTTTAATTGAAGCATTTAATCATCATATTCATGTAATTACACATGTGCTTGAGTTTAAAGCTCTTACTTTGTCTATTTGTCTCACCTGTTTTATGTTTAATTTTCTCTCCTTTCTTGTCTGTCTTTTAATCATTCCATTTTTTCCCCTTCTAGTAGTTTGAAAATTTTAGTCTGTTTTTGTTCTTTTAGCAGTTACCCTAGAAGTTATAAGGGACGTTTTTAATGTATCAAAGTCTTTACACTTCCCCCAGAGAGATAATACAGAGAACCTAGAAAACTCCATTTAACCTCTTCCCAAGATACATGCTCTTGTTAAGCATGTGTTTTAGTTCTTTACTGTTTTTTTTTTTTTTTGGCCGCACCCCGCATCTTGTGGGATCTTAGTTTCCCAACCAGGGATGGAATTCAGGCCCATGGCAGTGAAAGTGCAGAGTCCTAACCATTGGACCACCAGGGAATTCCCAGTTCTTTATGTTTTTTAAAACCAAGTTTCAGGGCTTCCCTGGTGGCGCAGTGGTTGAGAACCTACCTGCTAATGCAGGGGACACGGGTTCGAGCCCTGGTCTGGGAAGATCCCACATGCCGCGGAGCGGCTGGGCCCGTGAGCCACAACTACTGAGCCTGTGCATCTAGGAGCCTGTGCTCCACAACAAGAGAGGCCACAATAGTGAAGAGGCCTCCACACCGCGATGAAGAGTGGCCCCCACTTGCCACAACTAGAGAAAGCCCTCACACAGAAACGAAGACCTAGCACAGCCAAAAATAAAAAAATAAAATAAAAAATAAACCAAGTTTCATATAATCGATGTTTGTTTATTTACCACTCTGCTTTGCTTTCCTTCTGGAATCTCTGCCTTTCCATCTGGGGTCATTTCCCTTTTGTCTGATGTTTAAACTTTAGAACAGGAGTCAGCAATATACAATTGACCCATCAAATCCAGCCCATTGCCAATTTTTGTGAATAGTTTCATTGGAATACCACCAGGCTTACTGATTTGTTACCGTCTATGGGTTTTTTTGTGCTACAACAGCAAAGTTGAGTGGTTGTGACAGATACCATACCCTATGGCCTGCAAGACTAAAATATTTACTATCTAGCTTTTTAGGGAAGTTTGCCTACCCTGCCTCAGGGTTTGCTTTAGTGTTGGCCTGCTGGTAAGGAACTCTTCCATTGTTGTTGATCTGAAAAGACCTGTATTTTGCCTTTCTCAATTCTAGATGGATATTCTAGGTTGGAAGTTCTTTTCTTTCAGCATGTAGATTCTATCGTTCTGCAGCCTTCGTTGCTCCTGGGAAGTCAGTTCTCAGTCCGTCACTCCTTTGAAGATAGCCGGCTGCTTTCAAATTTTGTTCTTTTTGCCTGTGGTTTTCTGCAACTTACTATGATGTATCTGGGTGTGGATTTATTTTTATTTATTCTGCTTGAGATTCATTGAGCTTTTAGAATCTGTGAACTGACATCTATCAATTCCAGGAAATTTTTAGCTATTCTCAAATACTGTCATTCATCAACTTCTGGACCTCTAAATAAAGTTTTCACTGTTTCCTCTATGTCTCTTTACTCTCTTCACATTTTCCACCTTGTCTTGCCAAGCTACCTTCTTGATGCTTTTTTTCTGACAAATTTTATAGTTCACACTAATCTCCCTTCTAGTGTATCTAGTCTGTTGTTAAACCCATCCATTAAATTCTTTAGTTTTTCAGTTCTAGAATTTTTATTTGGTTTTTAAAATCTAAGTCATTTTTTATAGTTTCTGGTTCCTTGATGAAATTCCCAAGGTTGGCTCTTCTTTGACCCTAGTGATCATAATTGTTTTGTAATCTGAGTTTGCTAATTATAATATCTGATGTTTTCTGTGTTTCTGATTCTGTTGTCTATTTCCTGGTTTTCACTTATGGGGTCTTGTTTTCTTCTGTGTCTGGTTATCTTTGTGTGCTGAACATGTATATGAAGAACTATGTGTAGGCATAATATAAGCTCTAAGTAGGATATAATGCTATCTTTCTCCAGAGAGAGGATTTTTATTTTTCTCTGATAGTAACTTAAAGTACTTGTCAAGGATCACCATGATACAAATTCAATGCTTTAATTTCCCTTGACACCAAAATGGCAAAAATATGGTCTGAAAGCCTGGCAAGGGCTTTTTTTATTTCCAGTTCACACTTGAGGGGGAACTCCAGGGTCCTAGTTTAAAGTGAGTGTGAGTTTATTAGAGTGCCCACCTTGGTGGGCCCTGGACTTTGTCTTTTGCCTCACTAGCCCTATAATCCCACCAAAAATACAGGTCAGTTTCAATACTGAACCTATTGCTACTAAACTGGCAAATGCCCTGAAGACAAAAATGTGCCTTTGTGTGCTGCACTTACTTTTCTTGGTTCTTGTCTTCTAAGATTTGGCCTAGTATTTCCCTACTTATCTTAATAGCTCTTTAATGATTTTAAGAATTAAAAAAAAAATTTCATCCACGTTTTTTAGCTGTCTTCAACAGAAGGGTTAATCCAAATTACCTAGACTATCATTAACAGAAGTTTGTTCTCTTTGTAAACTTTTTTTAATTTTTAAAATTTAGTAACTCTTATCTGAAAAAACAAAAACCTCTGTGAATATGTCTTTGTGTACATTCTAGCAATGATATCCATCCCTTCAGGAATAAGGTCTCATAAGGAAACAGGAACTTATAAGAACAGTGTATACTCTTAATCTATACATGCTAGAAACTAGGTAATTAAAAATTAGAATAGGTACAAGTAGCATACATTTTGCTAGCCATCCAGAGCAGACAACTCTGCATTTTACTGTAATTTATAAACTAATATAGTAAATAAATAAAGGCTATATAGTAAAATTTAATACTGCAATTATCGTTGGGGCATGAGTACATACCTAACATCAAATTTTATAAACATGGTTCCTGTTAATTTAAATGTAGATTAAAATATTCAAATTCTGGGGGACTTCCCTTGTGGTCCAGTGGTTAGGACTCTGCACTTCCACTGCAGGGGGCGTGGGTTTGAGCCCTGGTCGGGGAACTAACATCCCGCAAGCCACACGCAGCAGAATGTTGAAAGAAAGCCATGGCTCCTAGAAACAAATTTCGGTATGGCTAGACTGTCAAATGTAAGGGGAGCAGAGATGTGGCTCAAGATATTTGGCAAGGGCCAGATCCTGCAGGCCCTTGTTAAAGTTTAACTTGAAGGGTTTTAAGCTGGAGAGAGACAAGATCAGATCTGTACATAGTGGAATATGGATTGATTGAAGAGCGCAATTTGTATTTAACGAGACCAATTAGGGAGGGCAGTGGTTCAGAGAAGAGATGCAGGAGATAAGAGGTCTGCGCTAGGGTAGCAGAAATAGCGAGTCAAGATTCTTAGGAGGTAAAATCTAATTTAGCGATTATTTAGC